AATTCGCCGTTTTTTATGCTCCCCTGCCTTAAACACATTTATATTTATGATTAGATCAGTGAACTTCAATATAGCCTTCATCTCAGTTTCAAGATTTTAGTGAGAATTTACTATTTTTATTTTTGTAAGTAGTAATTTTACAACCAACCTACGCGTTTTTTACTTTTGCCACGTAGTTAACTGCAGTTGAACTTGGGAGACGCCTTATGCATTGCTTTCGCGCAAACTTAATTTCCTTTTCCATACCACGACATTTTATGAGTTTGCCAGTCTACTGTATTTGCCTAATTTTACGTCTCAGTTCATTAGAGTTCTGTTTCCTCAAGTCAGCAGAGCTTTTGTCGATGCCAATTGAATGGCGGCAGATTCCGCATTGCTTTCTACTAGTTGATCGTTCCTCATATGAAATCTTGACTATTTGCGTTTTTACTGCGTAATTGTAACTTTTTTTTCCTGATCCGTCCTCTGCTTATTCATAATCCCAATCACTATTACTCGCACCCAGCCAATCACTTTGCTTTCCCTTCCTCTTCCTCTCCTTCCTAGTCGCAGCCGTCATCTTGACAGGCTTGAGCAACTGTTTGCCGGACAACCCGTGCCGCAGGTTTGTGCCGCACTCTCTGCAACTGAGGATCCTGCCTCCTCCTCCAGCGGTTCTACTCTGCCTCGTGAATTCTCCAAACGTTTCGCTGATCTCGTTGCATCAGCCAAGGAAACGCAACTTGCACTCAACAAGCTGGAACGCGAGCGTTCCTCCGTCGAGGCAGCTTTGTCCTTTCAAAGGTAATAAGAACACGTTTTCGGGTTTGGATCGTTGTTTAGTAGTATTGGTAGTACTAATACTAATAGAAGTGATCGTAGTACTTGTCATATTAATAGTAGTTGTAATAGTAGGAATATTATTAGTAAAAGGGGTATTGCTATTAGTAGTAGTGGTAGCGATGGTTTCACTGTTTAGTTAGCTAGTTATCTTGTCTGGCGAATATTTGCTATTTCTGACGATCTCGTCTTCTTCCTTGCCCCCTCTCTCTCAGAAAACAGTTTCATGAAAAGCAGGACATGGCCAGACAAATGGAGGAGCGTCTTCTCGCAGCCTGTGGCAGCGTGGACTTGGAACGTCACATTGACAAGTTGCTCCTGAAGAAGAAGCAGTTGTCTAGGTACAGCACACTGCTGACGGTTTGTCGAAACATTTTTCTGCATTAGACCCTCAGGTCAGCTACCGGTTTGTTCAATCGCTCAGACATTATCGTCCCGTCCCCCTGTGATGAAGAAAACTACTGTTGTTGTTTGTATGCGTCCTCACGCAACTGCATTTCCTCCTTTACTGTTGTGCGTTTAGGCCCTCATCGCGTCTATTGGTGTCCGTTCGCGACGCGTATTAGTCGCTTTACCCCATTTCTTAATGAGGCTGAACATTCCGGCCTTCAGTACACACCTGTTGTAACGGTGGTTTCTAGCTGTGTCACCATCTAGCTAAGCCCTGTTGAATCCCCAAGGAGT